AAGGACTCGAAGTAGCAAGTGATGCAAACGCAACAAGAAAGAATGCTCTGGACAAATATGGGTACAGAAACTCTGAGGTTTCTATGTACACAGCATGATGTACTTCACCTAGTCAAATATTTTAATACACCACCAAGAACTACGTAAACAGGCACTTGCATCATATGTACCACATTTTGCATAGTTTATTCAGCAAAAGAGATTTAGCTAAGTGACTTCACATTTTAGCACAAATAGAATATTTTTATTCTTGATTGAAAAAAAGGAGTGTGGAATTAACAGAAAAGTGTTGCTGGACACAGGGCGAGGCCTTGGGTGATGGATCTTCTGTCAGAGATTGGCAGTTTCTTAACCTAAGTTTCTCCATCCTTTGAACAGGAGTGAAGATAGTTCACGATTTCACAGCAGTATAAAACATACTTTGTTCATGCTTACAAGAACATAAGAGCTTTGAGATTGGACATATTGAAATTAAAAACATATAAGAGCCATTTCTTACAGAACTCGACATGCCCCAATAAATCCTAAAGGCCCAGGGCTGGGAGACAGAGCCTGCACTGAAGGTTGCACAGGGCTTCCCTGAGAGACAGGACAGCAGGTGCCAGCTCCACGCAGGAGCAACCTCAACCCAGGGGACGACGCAGGAGCTCCTCTGAGCTCCTTTAAAAGGCTTTGCTTTTGTAATCATCTACCTCCTTGCAAGGGATTTCCCTGGCGAAAATGCAGCTTCTGCTCTCTTCTGTGGCTGTGCCTTCGCACAGGACAGCTGTGGAGCACGCAGCTAGGTTTGTGAGCTGGGAAAAAGAGGTTGTACAGTAGAGAGGAATGGGAACTAGCAGGCATAGGCTGTAAAAGGCTTGGCATCTTCCTATGGGTTTGATGGAACACCAAAAAAAAAAGAAAATTTCCACAATAATTTCAGTTTCTACCTCACCGTCATTTGGGCAGCACCAGCATTTTATCCATGCTCTTGAAAAAGAATTATAATCATCCTGGTCTCACAGACTTCCGTGAGAAGCCTGGTTTTGAAAGGAGCAATTTTAATAGCCCTGGGCCTGAATGAAGTGGCCCTAAGGCAAACAAAGTCTTAGCTATACAGAAGAGATGCAATATTCACAGCAGGGTCTAAGTTCCTTGACGCCTGTAAGCTCTGTGACCAGAGCAAATCTTTACAAATAGCGTGCAGGGATAGGGGTCAAATTCATCTGGTACATACACAGATTCATTGTGCTACACTTGCACAACTTAGCTATTCTAGCTGAGGAAAAATGAGCCACTGCTGAGCAGCATGGACCAGCAATATCTGATCTGACTGATTCCACCAGTGCATCAGTACTCAAGAGGCAGCAGAAAGGCCGGGCAATAGGGTATGAGCTACGCGGGTGCTAACAAGCAAACAGGGTCAGAGTCCCTGTCCCTTTGCTGCGTGTCATCCCACGGCCACTGCTGGAGCTGAGGGAATATTGCCATCTAGTGCCACACAGAAATCCAGCTGTCTGCAGCAGAAAAGAGCCAAGCGATCCACGCAGTGGTTGTGAGGCAGCATGAAATTGTGACAGGGACATCGGTTTGGTCAGTGTCTTTGATGAGGTTATTATAGAAAATTGTACATTTTCTTCTTTTAAAAATGATGGCATGTTGTGAAAACTGAGATATAAGGCTTTGGAGAAGAAAGCAGGTTCAAAGGCAGTTAAAAAAGTGCAGAAGTATTCACATAATGTTTTAGCAATTGGCACTCAGAACGATGGGGTGACATTTAGAATGGGATCCCCTACCTTAAGAAAGCTAAAGCTAAAATACAGTTCCTGTATCTGCGTCAGTCGTCACAGGCTCCTTTCAGCAACAACACGGCACTGCCAGAGCACAGCTCCCCGGAGCATCTTCACCCTCCTCCTTTCGGGAGGCACGCACGGTACCTTTGAATTCTGCCCCTCCTCAGGGACAGTAACGGGGCTTGAGGGTGGCCGCTCTGACGCTCACGTCACTCCAGCCCCCAAGCTCCTGTCTCTCTGTATCATTTGTACCAGATAGACATAATTTCGGTAACTTGTTGGTGGAGAAATAAGAACCATGTGCAGATTCCTGAGCTCATCCTGAGATTCCATGAGCTCAGTTGCACGGTTCTTACTCAGGTGGGGGGACATTTACTCACAAATGAATTTCCATGGACTTCAGTGAAAACCAGCACTGCCCTATTCCACTCTGCATTCATTGACAGGCAAATGGATCCCAATATATTTAATATCCATCTCTGTGGGCAACACTATTAGCAGCTTCCTTCTACTGTCGCACCAGAAAAGCCCTTAGGGGAGACACTGCAGCTCAGGTCCCCTCAGCCAACACTCCCCCGAGCCAGTGAGGAGCTTTTTTAAATCTGTGCATATGTTTGAGATACTTTTAATGAGGCCATAGACTCCCTATCTATGTTACTAAATACTGGCCAGATTATAACAGTTCTCAGTTACTGCCCATCTGGAGCAGATTCAAGCCAGTGGTTGAATTTCGAAGGCAATTTGAAAATCAGTATCAATTAAGCAATCCAAACTTCCAAGCGCACACAAGATTTTCAAGTCAGCAACACAGTGCTTAGATATGTTGACTTAAATTTACTTAAATGTGCTATCAGTAGCCCTATGTTAATTGGCATGTTACAGTTTGTGGTTGTGACCGTCCTTCCCACTATATCCACTAAGGATATAAAGGATTAAATCACAGAGGGAGTCAGAGTCAATAATGTAAATGAATAAAATTTTTCAAACTGAAAAGAGTGTGAATGAGAGACAGCTATGAATACTTTTTTTTTTAATAGCATGAATCCCAATTAAACAGAGGCTGCTATACAAATTGGCTTATATTTTAAGAATTTGTGACTTCACACTGTCGAACATAAATCCTTACAAGAGATTTTTCCTTTCCTATGCTGGATTTCAATATTCTGTAAAAATCATGTATCACAGGTTCTCCCAAGGGAGGAAATATCTAGAGTTTAAGGTGTCTCACAATAATGCTGGTCTATAAGGTTACTGATGTCAAACTGCCAGGAGTTACGGGGGGACAATTGTCTTTTATTTTGAGGGAAAGTCATTTGGTGCATGTGATATTAGAGAAACAGAATATTTACATTGCTTTTAATGCCAATAAATAATGTGGAATTAAAACTTCTAAAAAGGAACACGAAAAGCCAGATTTATGAATATCTTAAAGCACCTATAAATATGACTTTCTAGAACCTTCACGTTTATTATCTTGTCCCCCATCAGTAAGATTGGCTAAAATATTTAAGTTATCAGCTTCCAGAAACAAGTACTGAAGAGAAGGCTGCAAATTCTGGAATTTACCCATACCCTCTAGCCTAAGGGCTCACACACCAATTTTTCAGATGCAACATAAAACCAACCAGTTTCCTCAGCCTTTTGCCCCAAATGAAGGCTGTTTCAGGCCGTTTGGGTGTCCCAAGCAGTCAGGAGAGCATTACCCCTGTTAGTTCAGTATCTAAACTGCAGTACTTAAGGAGCTGGGAACTTGCCAGGAGCTGCATCCAGCACAGAGAGAAAACTGACTGACTTCCTTGGGACCTCCAGTGTCCCTGGATCTGGTTAGAGACCGAGGGACTGGATGACATGGCCAGGAACAAACAGCCAGGGAACCAGGGAAATGGCCAGGGTCTATGGGAAAGAAAATGCCTTTGGAAACAGAGCCTAAAATGCTCCTCTTGTTTGTGTCCAGAGGACGTGGAATAACACAGGTTGTGAGGTATACCATAAATGGGCTTTACGGTCCTTGGAACATAACAATGTTGTGGCTGTTTAAGTGATACACAAATTTAAACATGCTTCTGTTTTAAAATACATACATGCTTAACATTCTGCTATCAGTTGGTTTCTGCTGAAATGGATTAAATGCTCTGTGAGGTATCAGAGGGGCAGTCACCATATCGCAGCTAAATGGCTTGTTTGTAGCAAATTACTTCCTATTCTTAAGCAAAAAGAACTTAATCAAGTGTCAGAAATGAACTACATCTCAACAGATTAGCTGGGTTGCTGCTGTTAAAATGAATTTGTTGCCAGATTTGTTTACAAAACTTCTCTTTCAGGGATGAATGCACTTCCTGCAATTTGCCAATCTTTTGAATAAATATTGTGGAGGATTTGTAAAATGAGAATTAATTAAACTTTCCTCTGAGTGTAATCCAGGCATTTTGCTCTCTGCAAAATATTGCCTGTAAGCAAAGGGAAAGTCTTCTTATTCTGAAGGAGTAAATAAAGTTGAGCACTTCCTTTTCCTTTCCAAACAAAATTGAGGTTCTAATAACTACTACTAATACATGAAGTGTATTTTATTCATTAAATTTCATATCTATCTCTTTAACTGTCTTCATAGTTTTGAACTGAACTAAATACATTTTATTTGATATTTCAAATCCCTTAGAGCTTTGTGCATTTTTCTAAGAGTCTTTGTGTTCTGGTTGCTTCTGTACACAGAAGCATGGTGGATGACACACGGTGGATGTGTTCACTTCTGGAAGGGAGACTTTTTGATGGTAACTCCAACATATCATTTGTGAGTGTTAGGATTTTGAGTGTTAGTTCAGACACTATCTCAAAGAGATCAGCTCATGGTCATCATCCATCCATTCATTCTGCTGGGTTATCTGAACAGGTCAGATGATGAAATGCCCTTTCTGGCCAGGGAGTAAACAAGGGTAAGTGTTTACACTCTGCCCTTCCCTTCACTGCAACGTAGGCTGTTGATGGAATTTTGGAATTGTTTTTGGTTTGAGGAATCATGAGGAAAATATTCTGCATTTGCAAAATAGCAAAAACCTCTAGCTCTTTCATACATAAGGTCAAGAGATAGTCACCAAAGATGCCATTAGGAGGATGGTTTTTTTGAGGATCCGAGAGGAAATCCAAAGATGGTAACTGTTTTTCAATAAAGATACAAACAATTACCTCATTTGGATTCAGAAGAAAATCATTTTTTGGTCAAACGCCACTAACCTGAGATATTCCTGTGTGATACAAGCCTTTCACTGGTGCCATTTGGAAGCTCCTGTTTCTAACAACGTCCAGGGCAGACCCAGGCTGGCAGCTGACAACATCACTGTCCAGGTGAACTAAATTCATGCCCTGTCAATAGGTCCTACGGAAAAGTTAGAAAAAGTTCATAGACTTCATAAAAGACAGGGGATTTTAACAGGATTAAGTATTCAGGCAAAGCCTTCTTTGATTCCTTAGGTGCCAGATCAAGGGGACTGATTCTTCCCGGTTACCTACCCTTAAAAAAGCTCCAGCTTTTAAAACTATTAAGACCGTCTGTTCTTAAAGGTTTCATCAATCAGAGCTACCACATGCTGCTGCTGTCCTAATTAAATTAAACTCCACTGGGTCAATCCTTCCCGAGCCTTGCTGGGTGCATCTGAGCAGGGTTTCCCACGGCCATACGTATGAACCTGCATGTTGGCAGGGTGGAAAAGCAACTCCCTTTAAACACAGCCTCAAGCTTCCGCTTAAAGAGGCTAACACTACCTCGAACATCTAGGGAATCCTGGCGGAGAGTCCCCATCTCCTTCTATATTTGCACAGTGTCAAGCACACTATCAGCACTGTATAAATAATAATCATAGAAACCTGGAGTCAGCCAGGAAATAGCTGTGAGACATTTGTATTTTAAAACTTGAAACTGCAAAATTATCTGGTTGGGATTCTGGGAAAACTGTTCTTTTCCTTTTCCATGTTGTTTCCTTTTCCTAAATAACAAGAAATGCTGCCCATAGTGCCAATGAAGGCACACACACACACACAAAAAGATTACTCAGTACATTCGTCACAATGCTAAACATCCTGAATTAGAAAATTTAAGACAACGTCTACACCTAAAGTGTCTTAGCAGCACAATACATGAGATCTCTTGGAGGGGCAAAATAAAAAACAGTTCTGATTTTGAATCGGAAGAATCCATTTCTAACTTAAGAACATATTAAAAATGGAACACAAACATATGGGAGAGAGAGAGTGACTGAAAAGCAGTTTCACTAGCCCATCTTGCTCTTGATAATGTGTGGACAAAGGCAACTTTTTCTAATTATGGTTAAATTCCATGTTAAAACAGATTTATATGAGTCATAAATCTTTGAAACAATGAGCAAAATTCATGGGCAATTCAGTCTTCAACTCTGTAGGAATAACAATAATGGGCAACTCCCTTCTGAAAAAACAAGTTGAATTTGGTAACTCTTATTTAATTCAGACTCTCAACAAACATTCAGGGTGGATCTTTCTTCAAGAAAAAAAAAATTAATTATGTCTCCTCTCTACTGAGGTGTACGATTCCTACAGCACACAAGATATTTTGAGACTGTATGTTTATGTCTACAGACAATAAAAAAATATTCCTAAAGTACTTTGAAAAACTGCTCTTACAATCCTTGCCAGTGATACACATACAAACGTTTGGTTTTTTTCTTCTCCATTTTTTGGTCATCCATAACGGATATTCAAAAAGATGCAAGGAATGCCTCAGCATAATCAAATTGCAATTAAGTTAGCCCAGAAGCACTTTTCAAAAGATATAATGGCAAGGATTATAAAGGAGAAGAATGAACTGAAAACACAGAATGCCAAAAATCACCATCTGTTGAGATGATGGAGTATCATGCTCAAAGCTGTTAAGGTGTTACTAGAGCTGCTGTATGTTACAGCGTTAAGCAGTTAATTGCAGTTCATGGGTTTTAAGTATATGGACTAGGGCCTGCTTTTTACCATAGCAACCGCCAAAAAGAAATCTCTTAAAACATGTATTCAACGTGCACCAACAAAAAAGCAATAAACGGATTTGGGATTCAGCATCTTATTTGATCATTTCTAACCCCATCAATATAGACTTATCTCTTCATTTCAAGCAATTCAGGCTGTTCTACCAAGAAATTTTGTGTTTCTCAAGAGAAGACTACTGTTAGGTCTTTTCACCACCATAGCTCACTCCATTTACATACACCCTCTAATTTTATATTTGCATTTGTTTATATGAACATGACACACCATTTGCCCCCCCTGGTTCGGGATAGCTTTAGAAATGTCCCATTGTGCCATGATGTCAACACTTGATTCAATAAAATATTTTATGCCACTGATAAACTTGATAGTGGTTGTATCCGTTGTGCTAATTATGGTGATGCTTCAGGGCGCAGCAGAAAGGGCTCTACTGACCTTGTTAACAGGAGACACCTCTTGCCATAGAGGACTGAAAATCAAAATATGCCCAGGCATAAGATCTTCTGTCAGATTTTTCAGCAGACCATGTAAAAAGTCTCCTGATTTCAGTACCTCTGATATAGCAGAGGCTCCAATTTCAATGGTACTCTGAAGTCACTAGTAGCTGCAGTGCTAAGAAAAAAGGAAGTTCTTAGCGCATCAGAAAGTAAAACCAGCTCCTCATTATGGGACTACCAGTAGGTTTCCTGAATGCAATTATGAGTGAAATGAAACCCTAACAGCTTTGTTGTTGCACACAGAGGGTAGGACGCCACTTCCACAATAGGAAAGATACGTGGTGTTTAGTAACTGGTTTGAACTTCACTTTTAATTGATTTTTTCAATTATTTTGCAGAATTAAACAGAGACGAAGGAATCCACAGATGCCCATTGTCTCATAAAGAGATAACATTTATTTAATCTATCAGTGACGAGAAGATGTGAAAAACAACAGCCAATTCTGGCCACAATTTTGCATCAAACGTGCGCATAAGCAGCTGAACTACTAAAGAGCCCAGTACTAACTTTATAATAAGTTTTAGTTATTTTTTTCCTAAAATCATATTGCTTATTTTTCATCAGCGTTGCCACTTTTGCCTGTACTAGATGTCACATGAAATCAAAACACTTAGCATACATATCTGCAGTTTTTTAGCCAGTTAAGATGGCTATGTCAACCAGAGACGGTACAGAGACTTCTTTAATCTGAGCCTGGAGAACTTGTCGCTTCTATGCATTTCAGAGTCTTTCATAGGCACCATTAGCTTTTTTTAATATAGTCTCAATTTTCATCTTGTCCTGTTGACGAGGTATTTTCTTGCATTAACTGCAGAGTATCATTAGGACTGTGTTTTTATGCTTTGTCTGCCAGAACAAAACATAGCCTTAGGAACACTTGTCAAACAATAGTTTCAAATTACTCCATCAAAGGGTGACCAATTTCTATCATTAGCTGGAGGATTTAATTTAAAAAGGCATTGGATTCGTGAGAACATAACTGTGGCCCAACAACATCCGTTCTGGTCTGTGGAATCATTTTGCCTGTGTAGAATGTTGAGTAAAATGTTTGATGACGAAATTGAGGGGTGGCCTGTGAGGCATTTGAAGGATGATGGCAGCCCATGACTTCAAGTCTGAGGCACGACCTCCTGTTTCATGTTGGCAACTACTTAAATGTCAAACATACTTTCTTATGTAGGTTGCTTTTAGTTATCAGGTATTTTTCTCACTGTACCCCTAAAATGCTAAGGCCCCTGGGATCTGTCTGGGTTGAGCAGAGCATTGCTAAGGCTTATTTGAAGACTATTTATTATCTCTAACTTGTCTAGGTGAGGACAGGGCTCTTATTAGGGCCAAGCACCTTGCGGAGCCAGCATTTTGAGGTGAGGAGCTCCACGGTACCTCTCCACACAGCAGATGAGACACAACTGGTTTTTGGCACTCCGCTTCTAGTCTTAGCCAGAAATACGGGAAGAACAGGCTTGCTTTCCCCTGTGATTTCGACACGCTGGCTCCCTGTACGAGCTGGGAACGGGACGCACAGAGATGGAGGTCGTGGAGCGGCGTGCCCCACAGCAGGGGCAGCGGGAGGGGAAAAGGGTCCAGGGGAGAATATGGAGCCTGAGGAAAAAGGGAAGAGAGGCCCTTCATGTGGAGATGTCAGAGCAGGGAGGAAAAGCCAGGCGGGCTGAGGACTTTGGTGAGCGCTTGAGGCCGCGGGTGGTTGGCAAGTCTGGCAATAACACAGGCCCCACGACTTGTGGAAAGCCAACCTGCAGTTTTAGGGTAAAAGCGACTGAGAAGAGCAACAGCGCAGACAATGTAGGAGTCTAGGAGTGGGAAACAGGCAGGAAAAATAGAGCACCTTCACTGGCAAGAAACAGGGCCGGACTGCTGATACCTCGGCAAGGGGATGCACTAAGCGAGGGTCATGGTGCGCGTTGTCACCCGCGCGCTCTGGGAGTGACCGCCTGCACCGAGGACTAACGGGCGCACGAATGAAAAGGGCCAACACGCATTACCCAGCAGGGCACCTGTAATTTTTAAAATATTCTTTTTGCCTACCTCATGAGAAATGTGGGAAGACCTCTAGGGATCTGTGCTTTGTAGTTTTTAGTTATTCACATGAGCATTTTGAGAGAGCAAAACTTAGGAGAACTTTTTTGAATGCAGATTTAAGATAATTTTGCAGCAAAGTAACTTTCTCCATTTGCAGGTGTTTCCACCTTGTAAAGTCTAAAGGACTTTGTCAGACCTTTCTAGAGGGGTCTTAATTTCTGTGCTGATTGGATCCTAAGCGCCTTTCTTTAGATTTGAATATGGCCTTTACAAATATTATTATTGCTGTTAATTCTCAATAAATAATTTTCAGTAAAACCACACATAAATAATTAACAGGTAAAATATAGTGGTTTGTTTGCTGCATCAATGCTTAAAAAGCTGAATGAAGTTAAGAAGCACTAATAAACTGCTTCAGGAAAATAAAATTTTAGCTTTTCAGGAATATTTTGACCTGTCATTCAGGTCACCCATCTTCCTGTACAGCCATATTGTTAAAAATCCATGATCCTCTGAGCGACTTTGTGCCTCTGATCTGGTCTAATCTGCAGTTTCGTTCCTGTAAGTTTGTCTGATTAAGAGTTGACCAGGGACCTCAAGCATTTTTAGTTTTAAGGAGCGAGTCTGAGATCCATGTCTGACACAGGTTGCACCATATCACTGAGGCGAAAGGTAAAAGTTTTTTGGTGAAGGATGGGACATGAACACCATT